TGGATTAATGCTTTATCATGATATAAAATATTTTATATGATATGCTACAATTAAATATCTTAAAGTATTGTTCTACCATTGAGCTAAATGGTCAAGCCTTGTGCCTATAAAGGACAATAGGATGGTTACATAGTTTGTAAGTTTTAATTTTCAGATTTCTGGAAAGAGAAAGCTTTTGAAACTGAAAAATAAAAATAATGATGTGTTCCTTCTTCTGATCTAACCTTTATTTCCTTTTGAATATGACAATATTATATAATTATATTAAATAAACTTCATATACGTAGACCACATTTGAATTGAAGCTAAAACTGCATATAAGGCATTAAGAGCTATAGAATGTCAAGTCTTTAAATTATAGTGAAATAATAAAATTTAAAGTTTACTAAAACTAATTGCATTCTAATACTCCAAGGCACAGGTATTCTTACAACTGAAAATCTGTAGAAAATATATTTAAATATATACTGCTCAAAAATGAATAGGGATATAGTTAGTTATGTCTGATTTATTTTCCCTAAAATTTTTATCATAAAATACATTGAAAATTAATATAAATAATTTATATTATTTGACCTTAAGACATTTTATTAAAAGTGTTTTAAAAAATAATAAAATTAAATATTTATGTGATTTTGGCTTTATTCCTGCGAATTGTAAACTTTTTTAAAATTTAATAATTATTGTAATATGCTGTGTTATGCACTACCTCTCTGCACCTATTTAGCATACTGTTTATAATATTGCCACTGATATCACAAGGAATTTCATAAAGTTGCTGAAAGTTAAAAAGCTGCAAAATGCAAATGCAAAAGCCTTCTCTGCAGTGCATCCAACATGTGCGCTCAATGGGATCAAGTTCTGGAGACAATATGGAAAGGGGCAGAAGTGAAATGTCCAGATTTTCAAGACATTTATGAACAACTTTTCCTCTCTAAGGTTACTTATTGTCATAAACTCTCCCCCTCCCAAAAATGGAAATCTTTGCCAATTTGAGTAATTGGTTTCAGGAATGTACTCCTCTATAATTTCTTGAGCATAACAAACTGCAATGAGAATACCTTCCACAATATGGAGTAGAGTCCACCCTCCTAACTGTTTTGCATCTAAGATTGCTATAAATAAAAAAGTGTGACTGTTCTGGAAACATTGCAACATACCAATTGGTATCCTCATCTAGGCACTCGTGTTTAGCGTGTAGCGTCAGCAACTCAGTAGATCATGGTGTACATGATCTGCTGAGTTGCTGACGATGCACGGTTGCTACAGGTCCTTGCAACTGAACAAGAGATTCGGCATAGGACCATAGCAGCAAATCGGTGCTATTTTTCTATAGCAAAGCATTTCCGGAGTACAGTTCTTTCCAGAAAATTGAAGCTTTGTCTTTATAGGACGATAGTGTTTCCAGTCTTGCTTATGATTGTGAGACTTGGACTACCTTGTGAACAGGAACTCTTAGTCTTTGAAAGAAGAATCCTCAGATGGATATATGTGGTGTTCTCATCAGATGAGAGTGGAAAAGGAGGAAAAACCAGGAGCTGCACACTATGTTTAAGGAGGCCGATATAGTTCGAGTGATGAAAATTGCAAGACTGAGATGGGCCATCAAGGATCCACCAAAACAATTACTGATGGAGCCACTTCATGGTACCAGGAGAAGAGGAAGACCAAAGCTGCGATGGGCTGATGGTGTTGAGGCTGTTGCAACAAATATGCTGGGGCTTGGGAATTGGATGGCGTCTGCAGGGGAATGAGAAATTTGGTGGAAGCTGCTGGAGGAGGCCAGGATTCGACACCAGGTTGTACAGCTAATAATAATAATACTGTTAATAATAATATTAAGTATATTTTAGAGCCAATAGTTCATCTGGGGTCATCTCAGCTATTACAGCGCTAGACTCTGGTTGTACAGCTTTGAATCTTCAACATGAAAATTTTCCTTCACCTATAAATTAAGAACTTCTGCTTGACACATGGAAGTCCAAAGAACTACATGGAAGATTTTATCATAGTTTATCGGCAGCAGGAGTAGATAAGGATGCCACATCAGTGAGGCATCCTTATCTACAGGATGTGGCTACGTAGGAGTACACTGTTTCCTGAAATGGAAGGATTCGTTCTAGCCATACAGGACCAGGTCATCGCTACAAAGGCCAATAGCCATCATATTTGCGGAGAAGCAGTAGCTGGATTGTGTGGACTGTGTAAAACAGCAACAGAATCGATTCAGCACATCATATCAGGATGTTAAGTGCTTGCTGGGAACGAATATCTCCTTAGACACAACAACAATTTTGTCGCTGGTCATCTCTGCAAATGGTGTGATTCTGGACATAACAGTGGGTTCCATGAAGGAATTAGGCCTTTCGATGAATTGTTTGGAGCTGATGCAGAAAGCGGTGTCACTCAGAACAGTTGTTATTGTTCATAAATTTATGAATGTAACAGATTAATTTGTTTAGTCTACCCTTGACTTAAGTCCGGGTAATGTGCTGTAACCAGCAAATGCTGTGAAACAAGAGATTTCCCTGAATATTAAGTATAATATAGTATAAATTAAGGAGATAGTATAATGCAAAGATAATAAATGTTAAGTAATAATGGAGAATACCTAATCTACATGAAACATGAGACTAAAGAAAAAGAAAAACGAATTTGTTTAATGAGATTAAAGAAATGAAAACTGAATTATATTAAACGGGAATTAGAACATCTGAGATAATAAAATGCGGAGATGATAAATATTAAGTAATAATGGAGTATAACTGATCTACGTGCAACGTGAGATAAATAAAACGAAAATGAATTTATTAAATAAGATTAAAAAAAAACGAAAAATGAATTGAATTAAAGAGAAATAAAGAAGTTGTCAAAAAAAAAAAAAAATAAAAAAATAAAAGATTTGGATGGGGTTCTGAGAGGAAGAATATCGAGGATAGGGAAGAGCTGCTAAGAATGTTTTAATAAATTCAGAATTTGAGAATAGGCCAAGGATAAGTTTTGTTTGTCTGTTTTTAGATTCAATGTCTTAGGTTGGAGCTGGTTGTGGAGGATTTCAGAGATGAGTCGTTTGGCATGGTTAGAAACAGAGGCAAGGATAGAAGTTTTGTCGAAATCAAATGTGTGGTTTAGAGAGAGAGAAAATGTTCGGATAATTTTGGAGGCGATAAAATTATGAGAGGATACAAAATATTTATGTTGGGTGATGCAGTCTTTCAGAAGATTTTTGGTTTCACCTATATAAGATGAAAGACAATTAGGTGTAGAACAAGGAAAACGATATGAGAGTGGTGTGAAAGAGGAACAGGTTCTTTTAGGGATGTGCACAAATTAGAAAGTGTGTTGTGAGATTTAAAGACAAGTCATAAGTTAGGGTTGATAGATTGTAAAACTTTGTTTATGTTGTCAGAAAGATTAGGAATATAAGATAGAGATCTGGATATGGAGGCCAAAATAGGTTGTGGGGAAACAGTTGATCAAGAGTGAGGAAGAGCGATTGTTGTGGTCTTTTATAAGTTTGTTGATGGAAGAAAGGAAAACTTGAATTTGAAAGGATCTGTTTTATACATTGGATATTGGTTACATGAAATTGGGGATGGGAGAGGGAGTTACTTCGGTGAATGAGATTTTTAGCAACATTAGTTTTTTGGTGATAAGGATGTTTAGATTGGAAATTCAGAGGTTTGCTTGTGTAAGTTGGTTTAGTGTTCCAGTCCGTGGTTATTGTGTTGTTAGAATTCCTTATGATGAGAAGATCGAGAAAATAAAGTGAATTATTTAATTCGCGTTCTACTGTAAAGTTGAGGCAAGGGTGGTAAGAATTAAAGGTTGATAGGATATCGGGAATTTTATCTGGATTGAGGACTAGAAGCAGATCGTCTACATATTTTCGGATAAAGATGATATCGTATAGGTACAGAGGGATAATGGAGTCTAGAAGGTCATAAAGAACGATGTTGTAGATGTCAGGAGCGAGGGGGTTGCCCATTGATAGATTGGAAATTTGGATAAAAAATTGTCCTTGGAATGTGAGGTAGCCTGATTTACAACATATTTGAAGGGATTCAAGATATGAGGAGCGGTTAAGCGAGGTGCGGGGCTCAATGATAGGCCAATTGCCGTCTATTGTACTTAGTACATTGTCTATGGGTATGTTCATGAATAAACTTTCAATGTCAAAGGAGCAAAGAATGTAAAAATATAAAAATAAATATGAAAGGCAAATATAAAAATAATTATATTTATTTATTTCAACTATTTTTTTTTACTGATCACCCCAACCATTCTTCTCTTCAATATATTTGTTATAATATATTGCAGGCAATGAAAAAAAAAAAGAAATTAAACCTTTGCAATAATTTATTGTAGTCATTGTTGTTGAAAACATGAATACTTTTAGGTGACAGGATATCAAATCATTTCTTTTTTTTTTTACATAACTTGAGGTGAATCTCAACTTATTTCAAAATAAACCTTAAATTATTTTACATGGAATTTTTTTTTTATAAGTTTATTAAACAAGGATTTTTTAAGTCCTGTACTTGTACTGAAGTCGAGTACTTGTAGTATAGTTGGTAAGTGATTAAAAAAACCCTGAATAATTCATTATTTTTTAAAAACAAAATTTAGCTTAGTTTATCAGCTCAAAAGTTCTACTTTTTGAAGGATAATAGGACCATTGTTTATATGAACTTTTTTGCAGCTCTTGAAATCTGCTATCAACCCTTCCAATATTTCCCTCTACTTAGGGGATATCTTCTATATAAATCATTTAGATACATATGATTAAACTTTTTTAACCCAGACGTCAAATATACAATATAAAAATAAAACAATGTTGTAAAAATAAGTACTTTATTTACATCCAAATTCAAAAACTGCTTTATTATTAATATTAAATAAGTAACTATGTTTAAACATTAAAAATGAAACATTCTACAAATATTAAAGCTCAATTGATGCCATAATACGTCAGTGTCTTTCAATTCAATCTATGTTACACTCATCACAATATACTCATGTATTATTAAATGTATAATACATTAAACATTACAATAATTTTAATCACCATAATGTTCTTAATCTCTATTAAGTTACATCATACTTTTTAAAGATACAAAAATAACAAACCTTACTTCCCCATCATTCATAATTTTATTTATTTATACAAATTTACAACTCAATTTATTCTTAATTAATTAATGAAAATAAACCATAAAATATAAATATATCTCTGTACTCTATTTCAATTTAGACAAATAATATTGCCCAACACAACAGCTCTTCACATTGGTCAGACTCTAGTTCTGGAAAAAAAAAAAAATCAATTTATGTAAAAATGTAGTTAAGTAGTGCTAACAAATTTTAAGTATACCTGATATAATTTATTTTCCTTTAGATTTCCACCTATGTAATTTCATCTTTTTTGGTTTCTGTTGCAAATAATTCAATTCAGTGAATACAAATTACCTAAAGGTTTTCAAAGGATGATCTGAAAAAGTTACTTTAACCATACGGAATGATAAGAAATATCCTATGGTGAACAATGGCTTGTTGAACTTTGGAAGTGTTGTTCAGAGTAATAATTGAGAACTCCTTGCCCTACATGTATTACAATAAGCCTTTTGCAAAACTAATTTTGTTCAATTAGTTGAAAAAAATTGAAAAATGCATATTTGTCCATATGCATGGTCCATATTTGTTTCTATAAATAATCTAAGTTAAAGACATAAACAATCACAATATATTGTCACTATAAAGCATTTACAACAATTAAACATATCATCGGTTTAATAACACACAACAACATAATAAAAGTTACTCGTATAATAAATAAGTGATTTTAGAAGTTAGGCATTTTATAATATTTTATTTAAGTTTCATTTGAAAAAAAATGAATGAATAGTTTAATTTTATTTATCCCAAAATTTATCAAATTTTCTTGAAACATTGAGGTGCTCTTATAACGTTACCTGAAGCTAAATAGAAGCTTAGTTTCTGATGGATCAAACGCAGAAGCTAACGCTAAAATTATGCCTTAGAGTTAATAGTTTTGGCAAAAACAGTTCTAGCCCTAATCTAGACTGTGAATCAGCTGCTACAGTCATGTTTCAGATGATTTATCTAATAAGGTCATGAAATCCCAAAACCCCAAAGAAAATAAGAAAAAAATTTCTAAAAATGAGTATAAAAATTTATGATGAAGAGAAGAATAGTTGGGGTGGTCAGTCAAAAAATAAGGCAAAAATAAATGATAATATTTATTTTTACATATGCCGACGTTTCGACCTGAAGTTCAGGCCATCATCAGGGCTGAGCTTCAGGTCGAAACATCGGCATATGTAAAAATAAATATTATCATTTATTTTTGCCTTCTTTTTTGACTGACCAACCCAACTATTCTTCTCTTCATTATCCATGACAGTCAACCATTTACCAATTATAAAAATTGATGAACAAGAAAAAAAAACTAGATAGTACAAAATTGAAACTGATACAGAGAATAAAATAAAATTGAGGCAAAGGAAAAAAATGAAAGGAGATGAACGAAACATGAAAGAAAATAGTTGGCTAAAGGAAATAAAGTTAAATCATCACTTGCCAATGAAAAAAGAAATATCTAATAAAATCAATATTAGTGTTCAAGATCTTATTGAGAGGGCTAAACTAGAATTACCAGCTGCTAAGAATGAAGAAATCTCAGATGTACCAAAATGTACTCTAAATATATGGTTATTTATAACTTGCAAAAAAGATGAAAGTAAAAAATTACAACACTAAAATTATAGTCATAACAAAATTCCAAAGACATTTTTGTCCTTGGTATGGTTTCAAGGACTTAAAGAATGTGAAGTATAAGGGTTGTTTGTTTTCATCCATCAGTATTATAAGGGTGATATGGTGGATTATTATTCCATGTTCCTTTTTGGAAAATAATATTTTTTTAATATTCTGACTTATTAAAACTATTATAAAAGTAGTTTTACATTTATTTTAGTGGTATTTATTATTCAATCATAATTATAATTCATATTTAAACAAATATTCTCCAAGATACAAGTAGTGGACCAAGATACAATTATATTAATTGTACATTGGGTTATTTATTATTTATAAAAATTACTTTTTATCATAACCAAATCTGATGTTAAAATAACTTCAAACCATCAAAACATGACAAATAAAATTAATTGTATTTTAAACTTTTAAAAATCATTGTTATTTTAGAAGTTACAGAACATTGAAAACAACTGACTCAAGGTACATGTATCTCACCTCCTACATTGAGACAATATTTTCTCATTTTCCAACTTTGGAACTATAATGAAGTTGCTTTTATATTAAAAAAATAATGGTTGTATTTAATTTTTAATAAAATGTCCAATTTTTTGCTTGAAAATCAAATTCTTTCCTTCTGTTCTGGTAGCTTTTCTTTGTTATTAATTCAGTTGATTAATGTTAATAATTTTTAAGTAATTGGCGTTTAAATTTAACCAAAACTTACTCTGGTTGAGGTTCTGGTGGCCGGGTGCTACCAACACTAACATAAGCAGAATTTCTTCTAGGAGTGAACTGGTGTGGTCTTAGGGATAAATATGTATAGATACTTTTTCTTATAGCAGTTCTCACCTTAAAAATAAATGACAGAACTTATTTCTGCAAATTGATTTCTTTTAAATTAGTTAATAAGCAAATTAAGTCTATTAGGTAGTTCTATTATATTCTGCCAACAAAATATAAAAGGATTATTGTTAAATAATTATTCATTTCATTAACTGAAAGTAGAATTAAAACTTTTACACAGAACTGAAAGCCTCTCTCAATCCCACAAAAATTTATTTATTATGATCAATTAGATTTAAGTATGAGCTGTGCAATTTTCTAGACTCTGTAATTTTAACACTTAGCAATATAGGACTTCAATGGAAGTATGAGGCCAACCAGTAACAAAACAAAAAAAAAACTTAATTATGAACAAAATCTATGATATACCTCTCCATTAAGGAAACAATAAAGGACGGCAACAAAAAGCCCTTGAAAGGAGGTGAGAAAGTGGGTTGTGTATGACCATACAGCGAATTCCCACACCTGTCGATCCAGAGGAGCTTCCATCATATTGACAATATTAGTGATGCCAAGTAAGGGCAGAAGCACCACAGCTGCACGAACCGCTTTTCTGAAATATTTTAATAAAGTTATAATTTTAAAATATTTTTCACTTCAAAGAAATACAGAAAACATTTTAACTAATTACCTTTTCAGAATAGATTTCTTTTTCAGATTTACAATTTCTTAATTTAAAAAGCAGACATATTGTTTTAAATTGTAGTTACCAATTATCAGACTACATATTTTTCTACTTTATAAGGAACGTGTGACTAATAATTGTTCAAGACTAACATAAATTATTTAAAAATTGTATTAAATCAAGAACATTTCAGAAAATTGTGCAGAATATTCAGAGGGTAGTCTTAGAAGAACTGTGTTATCAATTTGAATTGTCCTTTCTTTGTGGAGGATCATTATTGTAAAAGCAACATGAAAGAAATCATTATTTACAAATGGTAATCATTAGTTGGTGACAGAGTAAAGTAAAATAAAATTTAAAAGGTATTCATTTTTTATGGATAGTAAATTATTTATTGCTTGGAAACAAAATCAATGATTTGGGAATTAATTGCAATGATTGTAAATATTATAATATTTAATCATGAGCACAGATATTATGAATATGGTAATTTTTTTTAATTTTTGTAGTTGGCAAAAAAAATCCTGTGAGATGCAAGCATAATAGCCCATTTAGGGCAGAATTGGCAGAATTAGAGAATTCCACAAACATGGAAGGAATCCATAGTTTTCTCAGTAAATAATTAAATAAGAAAAAATAAGGGTCCAACTGGAGACAGGCACTACAGAGGAATCAGTCTTCTGAATGTTACATTCAAGATATTTGCTAATAGTCTAATAGGAAAGAGTTACATATAGTTATATAGTCCATATAACTTTTTAAAAATAATTTTTCTCCTACATGATCATTTCTATCCAATAAATAAACAATCTATTCCAGCCAGAGTGGGGTTGAGATTCATTCCGTCACAAAATAAATCTCAACTTGCCTAAGAGGGAATCGAATATGAGCCATTTTTGACTTGAGGTTGCTAAGGTGAAGCCTTAACACACTATACAACAATCTTTTATCCTACCTGTGCAGCACAGTTGATGGCAACAAGCACGTTTCGATAGTATGTCAACAACAGATAAAATTTTTATCCTCAAAAAAGGAGGAAAAATCTAACGATCTGACTTGACTCTATGGATATTAATTGTATATTATTGTTATTGTTATTGTGTATTACAGTTTAATGGTAGTTATTTAAGTAAAGTGTTAATATTAACACTACTAGAGACAGAACTATTTTTTTTAACAGCCCTTATCCACAAAACATGTCTTTCCTTCTTTTCTGTGAAAATTTGAATATTTACTCAAAATGAAATGTTCTTGCTAACCTTGACTCAATAGACAACACTTTCTTTTCTTTTTAAAGTATAAACAACATACATAGTAATATGTATATGACTACATTATACTACACTGAATGATTTATTTGAATAACTTGTCAAAGAATGATAATTAATTATAGAATGATAGTAATAACAACATTCAAATGTTTTTTATTTGAATATTTTGTTCAACAACCACTTTGAGTGTATATATTTTTAGCCAGGTTTTAGTGGACTCTCTAGAAGCCTGGAATCATAATATGTATTGAAATTGAAGAAGAAAAAAATTAATTTTGAGGTAAAACATTTTTAAATGTCATTAAGTATGTTGATATTTAACAAATAAATTGGAATCCTTGCACTTTCAACATAAACTTACAGGTCTGGAGTAAGGTTTATCCGGTTACCAGTACTGGCACTGCTGAGGGGAACTAGTCTGGCAAGTGGGCCTTTTGGTCCTTTTTTCTAACCTCTGACGGCTAGCTAAAGATTGTCATCACATACTAACCAGAACTGAGGTTTCAAGATTCACTTCTTAGGACTTATTTATTAATAAATATTGACTGACCCAGGTGGTAATCGAACCTTCAATGTTCAGAACCTGACACACTGAGACCCTTATAATATGGGCACAACTTAAATTTGTTCAATGTTAGAAATTTTGACAGTTGGACAACTATCATCTCCAAGAGCAGCCAGCCCTCAAATATCAAGACAAACCAGTAGATACAATATGTGATCACACAGAGCATAAAACACCTAGGCGATTCTATGTATTCTTAAACTATTTCTAATGTTTAGTATAACAAAACAAATATTATTAGTTGTGCCTCTTGAATTATTACCAGAGGATATGGTCAATATTCTAAAATAGCTTCATATCTGTTTCATAAAAAAATGAATGCATTCCGAGACATTAGATACCCAGCAAGAATGAATCTCTATAAAGGAGAGTTATTAGGTATGTATTCCCCTCCTGATACTGGAACCTCACTAAGTCTCAGAGAAATCGGTAGGTATCGGCCCAGAGGATGAACCTTCTGCATTTCACCAGAGCACATACGATAACCTCACATAAAGCAGTGCAGGTCTTAGTGGAGACGCTTAACCAGGGGTGCCCATCCTCCCCAAGGCCGATGGTGCATAAACCTTCCTCCACCCCTCCCAAGAATATTTCATTTCCCTCTTCTTAAAAACAGTGCAAAGGAAAGTAGAATTTAAATCATAGATGATATACAATTACACATACTGGGATCCGTTCCATGCTTCCACTTATCTTTTAATTTGAAACTTTTCATTTTGAAAATTCATAACCCCGTCGAAATGTGCCCCCCTCATAAATTTTGTTGTCACAACTTGTGCCATGAAACCCCCTTCTGGGCACCCCTGCTCTTAACCTCCTCCTGTGAGAAGATGTGGGTCTAGCCTATTTCAACATAGGACCAGTGCTAGGAAGATGGAAGAACCTTTCAGCCAACGGAGATTTAAATGCTGGAAAATTGTACAGTGTTTTATTCGCAGCAGTGTGTTGTTATGTAGTGAGGTAAAATATCTCACTACTACAAACACTCACATTGCCCAATTGGCAAGGAAGCGTTATTTATTAATAAATAAAGTTTGATAAAAAAATTGAATACTATTTATGAAACAGCCAATATCAGTTTTGAAGGGATGATGGACTAAGATAAAAATTCTTTCTTCAAATAAAGAAATGAACGAATGATTTATTGCTTATAAAGAACAACTTACATTATATATATATTTATTTAAATAATTACTATTGAATTGTTAAACAATTAATTAATTAACTCTTTGCTATAAGTTGTTCTTTATAAGCAATAAATCATTCATTCATTTCTTTAATTGTTGAATGAATTTTTATCTTAGCCCATCATCCTTTCAAAACTGATATTGACTGTTTCATAGATAATATACAATTTTTTTTATCAAAACTTATTTATTAATGCACAACCCTTCCCTGCCAACATATTGCCCATTTGTTTAAATATTTTATGCTTCATGTGAATTTGTCCTGTTTCAAACCTGACATGATTGCTTCAGGTATTTATCAGTAAATGCAAAAGGTGTTTTAAGTATGATAAATGCCTTTTTGTATTTGGTCTGCGTATCCCAGTCCTCATATTTCAGACATATATAACAGAGTACTCTCTGATATGGACTCAAAAAGTTTTGTTTTACTTATCCATGTGTCAGACTTGCAGTTGTGTAATACCTTTAAAACAGTTGAGTTTGCGAAGAGTCTGCTGAACAGGATTTGGCAGATGTAGAGAACGGGACTGCTAGATATGTAAACTCTTTCACTTCTTGCAGAACAGTATTCATGTATTTCAAAGTGTTGTGCCTTTATCACCTCTTTGGAATGTCAAACCTACAGACCTGTTAGTATTTACTCTTAGGCCTTTCGCAAGACAGTATTTTTTTATGATCTGGAGTTTGTTCTGGCCATCTCTCCAGGTGTCAGCTAATATCACCAGATCATTAGCATAAAGGAGGATGATGAGTTCAATTACATCTGGCGATGGAATTCCTTGGGATTTCTTTGCTTTATAAAAGTCCAGGATATCTGATGCGTACAGTAAAAAAGCAGGAGACTTAGAATATCGCCTTGTAACACGCCTTCGGAAACTGGAATTTCACCGGATAACTTGTCTTCATAGATTTGGAAAGTGGCTAACTCATATATATTCATTAGTAGACAGAGTATTTTCCTTCTTAGGCCAATATCATAAAGTCTTCTCCATAGCCTTTCATGATTTAGAGAATCAAAGGCACCTTTGAAGTCTACAAAGATTGATATCACTTAGCATCTTTTCAATCATAGCTCTATATTTACTGCTGCTGAGAGGATAAGAACGTTGTCTCTATATCCTTTCCCTTTTCTGAAGCTAGTTTGTATATTCGGTATAAAATTATAAGATCTGTGCACCTTGCCAGTCTATTATAAACAATGCTTATAAGTAGTTTTAGCGCTGAGTTCAGTATTGAAATTCCATAACTCTTGCCGTACCTTATTTATTATCTTAAGCATGGCTCATACCCATATAGTATCCATGACTTTAAAACATTCATTAGGCAAATAAAGAAATAATTTCTCATAATTTTCAAAAGGGATATATCAGGTATTTTAGGAGAACTAGAGGTGAAATCGAAAAATGAATTGCAAAAAAGAGGTAATCTAAATATTTATATATTATTCTAATTAATTCCCTAACTCACTCATGCTCATAAAAGCAAAATCAAGCATTACTAAGGAAGAACTTTTGACATGTAATATGAATTTAATATACTAAATTAAAAATGTAGCTTATATTTAAGAAACATCAAATGCTGATGTAGTTACATACCTTACTCGTTCTACTTCACTTGTGTGGCTTTCTCTTAATTTTACTATGAGTACACGTATAATGTTCAATAGGAACAAAAAATTCAGCTGAAAAATAAAAAAAAACATTTTAAAAGTACCTAAAGATTAATTGCATAAACTCAATGTTAAACTTTCAATTTACATAAACTTATAGTTGCTATTTTCGTTTGATACAGATCTTGCTCCTAAAATTATTCCAAAGTAGTTTATGATTCTCTGAATGAATACAATCTCTCAACACTTTAATTTATATTTCTGTAGTATAACTATATTAATAAATTGAATAAACTACATGAAGAATAATTAAAAAAGAGATTTGTGAAATTATTTTTAAATATTATAAATATATGTATAATGTCCAAGAGAGACTAATTTTTTGTTTATTTTACCAAAATTACTGCAAAACGTGGTCCCTCTAGTATCCAAAAGTAAGGGGTAAGATTATAACCCCACCAACACTTAGTTTTCATTTTGGAGGCTATGGAAGCTGCCCAGGCAGTTGTCATTACTAGAGGCAGACCCCATCCAACACAATTGTATAGTCTGTATCTGAAGGTTTCTTGAAAAACTCTTACTGAAATAAAAATAAAAAATAGCTACTCTTCACAACAATAATGATTGAAACAAGTAAACAGAAATAATGGTATTTTTTATTTTCTTAGACATTTAAGTATTAATAGTTTTTTGCTTAATTGATTACTATCATACTTTTTGGTTGTGGAAAATACGTTATTTTTAATAAAACCATGCTAAATAAATGATAGAAAGCAATCTATGTAAAACATTCATATGAAAACTGATTCGTTAATGAAAATATGTTACTTTTGAGGTAACGATGCTAAATAAATGATAGTAAACAATCTATATAAAACATTTATATGAGTGGCTTCATATCAAAGACGGACATCTGTTATTTTCATAAAGTGAATTTTTGTTTTATAGGTTCAATACACTGTTTCTGATGATTTTATTTACAAATGTTCTAGTCGAATCATGAAAAAATCATTAGAATTAGTTTAAATAGATGCTATTTTTCAGAAAATCAGCTTTTTCTCAACTTTTTTAAAATGTCAGATATCGTATTTTATATTAAACCACTTATATGAAAACGGTTGTATTAATGAAAATCTGGATTACTGGATGAAGTGAATCTATTCATAGAATTAGAATTAATGATGTGTCCTAGAATGTATCATAATGTGACAAAAATAGTTTTATTGTCATACAATTTGAAAAACGATTCAAATAACTTACTAGATTTTTTAAAGATTCATTTTTCAACGATGTGCAAGAAGAATCTTCTTCTCACTAATGTGCTTCAGAGAATTATGCCTTAGGTTTATAATTTGTATATGTAACTTAATGTTCTTGAATTAATTATGTTATTTTGTATTATTTTAACAGCTTTACCATTTTATCTTCTCAAGAAATAAACAAAACCACAATGGATACTAAAGAAGATAGAACCTTCTTGAAAATACAATCAATATATGGAATAGAATTCTAGAAAGAAAACTTTATTCTTGGACCTTGTTCCTTAAGAATAAAATTAATGAAGAAAAATATAAACAATTATGTGCATAATAAATTGAACAAAATCGATAACAATGAGTAATAAAAAATCAACATGTATACAATAATAATTAAGAAATACTAATAAACAAAATAAAAAAAATAAATAATTCTAATAAAAACATAACCATTACTAAATAAAATAAGCTTTTTCACTTACATGGAAAAAACAATGATTTAATTGATAAAACAATTATTTTCATCTTTGGGAAAAATTCTCTTGTTTTCACATTCCATGTTTCATTGACTTATTCCTATTTCCTTTTTTAGACAAAGTTCATCAAAAAAAAAAAAAAAATATGGCTTGAACTCATGTCACAGGAAAAAAAAAAAAAAAAATAATACCAATACCTCTTTATCCAAACACCAAAGAATTCAAAGGAGGAAAAGATTTGAGTATCATCAACATATGAGTGGTGGGAATAGTCTGTACAGACCATAAGTTAAAAAAAATCTACATCATAAACTATCTGCTATTTACAATTAAAATGAATGGTGACTCCTATGTATTTTTACTTAAGACTTACTGTTAACAGCAAACTCTTATGGTACTTACCAATTATAGAAAAATAAATTTATGTTTCACTATAATTAGAAAAAAAGTTAAATTAGATATTTATTCATGAAGAAATAATTTATTTTTATTATGGTGTTTACTTTCTATTAACAAAGCAATAAATAAATTTCACTAGTTTTGACAGAACTGGATTCTTACCTCATTGCATGATATTACCTATAGTATAAATATCTTTCCGAATTAGTAAATTCAGATACTATTAAAAACAATTTTAAGTAATAGATGGTGGAGAGGGAAGGAGGTTCTTTCAACAATCATACACTATATTGGTGTAATCTTTATTTATACCGTTGTTGTAGGTCTTCACATACAGTAGACATTAAGCACAGTGCCCTTGAGTCTCCCGGGCATTGTTAGACCTAGTCCTTGTGAAAACTTACAAGGTAGTTCAAAATGTAGGCTATAAATAAATATTAGAGTGAGTGATTATTGACCCCGCTCCACCATCCACTGTCCAATTATTATTCTAATTAAAAAATTATTCCTTAAATTAGAAATAGTTGATAAGTATTAAATTTTTCTGATCTGAATAGCCATTCACCTGAATGATCCAAAATTTTGATCAGATAATTTTCAGTCAGTTATTGGTTATACTAGGCACCTTACTGGGCAAAAAGTCTGATTTGAGAAGAAAAAAAAATCAATTTTGATAAAACCTAAAAAAAACATATTTGCGATGTCATGATAGATCTATGGATCCATGCCTATATATAAAATATATTTTAAACAGAAGAAAGACTTAAGAGAAAATAACAATGACATAATTTGTTAGTTCTTGGAACCTCAATTTTGAGAGTTAATTAAGATGATAATTTACAATTTTTATTGTTTTGAAATGTTTATGTATGTATGATTATTTTAATTTTGTAAAATTGAATGTTTGATTACCCTCCATTTTTATTTTAAACATTACTATCTTTATTGAACTTATTATTGTAAAATACGTAGATATTTCGAAATAATGTAGTAAATATAAGAGAAACTGTTCAACTGAATTTGTTATGATTGTCAGCACCAGCAGGGAGAAGGCACTTTCTACCCTTCTATTAAACATTTTATAAAGGCAGAGTTTCACAAACTTTCCAATATTTACCATACTTAACATTACAGTATATATTACAGCCATTTATTTAAAATATAAATCACAAACGAATTCAATAAACCATACAAGTGATAGTTATGTTATGTTACAATTAATAAACTGATGACTAGGCTACTTAATAATATATTTGTCGTTCTAACCCTAGCCCCCTCCCATATTTCTCATTACTGGCGCTAATGATATTGATTATGGTTACAAACCGATTATGCCGAATTTATAAATAGTTTCAATCAAAAGCTTGAAACAATTGTTAAAAGACAATGATCCATTGGAAGACTCCTCAATTAATTTATTTAAAGTGACGAAATAATGATTGCTATTTTTTACATATCAGTCAAGTTTTTATTTTTTTCTATACCGTTGGCAAAACTGCAATTTGGGCTCATTGGAGTTGTGCTGTTGATTGTTGTAAAAAAATTATCTTTTTAGGTGTGTGTTCTTTAAATTCTGTGTTTATAGTTAATGATGAGATATTAATCATGATTTTAGCTTCCCCGCATGAAACTAAGTACGGAAAACTTCGATTTCGGTTGTTGGTGGTTTTAAAATATAATTTTATATTTTTTCGGAAATCAGTTTCATTTTGAACAATCAGCTTTCTGGCACAGAATAAATATGTAAAGTGTGGCGATTTCTGATGTTTGTTTTCCAAAATAAATATATTAATGCAAGTTAAGGAGAGGAACTCGTGATCCAGGTTGAGCTCAATCCAGGTAAAGTATCTCTCATATATTAAAAAAAAATATTTCTTTTGTTAAAACTTATTTTTAATTTTAGATTATGTCTAGAAATTATGCGATTAAATTTGTAGATTTATATCGTTAATTGATTTCAATTGTACCGTATGAAATACATATACCTAAGTATTAACTAAGTTCTAGTGCAAGTTCCTAAATTCAGCGCTGACCTCATCGATGACATCGGAAATCCATCAGACCTTTCTTAAACTTATCAATTATAGATGGAATTCAATGCGTCCCTTCATTCATCGATTGATTCAGTGATGAGTTATCTCTTTTGTAGTCGATGGATCCGCTGGATATAATCTCAGACTTGCTATTTCTTTCTTTACATAAGGCAAGTTCCTAAACTGAGCGCTGGTATAATTGATATGCATCGAGAATAAATCAATGAATAAGCGCTGAGTTTAGGAACTTGCCAATATTTATATTCAGTTTATTTTCTATCTAAAACCCTAAACTTAAAAATTTGGCAGCTCGGGAAATCATATAATGAGTGCTTTCTTAACTATAAAAAAAAAATCAAAATAAATTTCTTAAGCGATTGTATGTCATATTTCATTCGATGTTTTTGATTAATTTTCTGAATTTGATTCATTTGATGAAGTTTCTGATTCATTTGCCATATTAATAGGTAAAAATTTATTTAATTCTAATAGTTTTTTTAAATTTCCAAAAAGTTGTGTGCCCGGCAGGGATGCCCATTCCCAAGTTCAATGGCGCAAACTCTCCTCCTTCCTTCTCCCAAAATATTTTCTTGCTCTCCTCTTTTAAATAACAGTGCAAGCTAAAGTATAATTTTAGAAATCAAAGTTGATACAAATTAAATGTTCACTGGTCCGTTCTACGCTTTCCTCTTGTCACCTGGTTTGAAACTTTTAATTTCGAAAATTTATAACCCACTCGAAGTGTGCCAACCTCAAAAACCCGCCAAAATGTGCCCCCCCTAAAGATTTTTGACCGTTCAACTTACGCTATGAAATCCCCTTCTGGCCACCCCTAGTGTCCGGGCCTTTTTGCTGCACTGTCTACCTATATTTATTTCTATCATGAAATTCAAAAATTTCGTAGATAGGTAGTACCTATTATATTTGTTTAACTTTTCTGTTATGAGAATGTTAACCTTCCGCTTGAATCCGACAGATCGTTCCGAAACCCAGTATAAATCACTATTCATCAGTGCTGTATTCAATCGATTGATGGATTCCATCGATAGAATCAGTATTGAGTTCAGGAATATGTCCATTCAACTTCACACTGAATTTCCTTTAGGAGCAATGCCTACAAGAAATATATATTTAAACTGTGAAAAACTGAAAATTTCACTACATGTTAAGAAAGAGATTTAGAGAATTTGACTCCCGTTGATAACACAGTTGCTTCTGCTTACCTATGCGAATATTTTTACAATATTTATTTTACGTGAAATACTTATACTTCAAATACTTACATTGCGTGAAATAATTATTATAACGAAATACTTATTACTTAACATAAAATACTTGATATAAATAGCAATAGATAAGTTAGAAAAATATTTTGTATATAGAATATTTGATTTAAATAAACCAAATAGGTTTGTG